TGTACGCACACACTATATGTGTGTGCGCATAAATGTATTTATAGTACTACATATAATTTTAAAAATATTGATTTCTATATTGAGCGGGGCGGGATGAGGTGGCACGAGTCAATACTAATATCTAGACCCACCCTATTGTATACATGGGAAATATATCTCATTTACAAGATGTGACGAGCCGGATCTGCCCCAATTTTTTTGGGGCAGAATGGTTCCTTACGTGCCAGTTTTTTTTTTACACGTCTATATGAAGATGATACTCCGTAATTCCGTATATAAGGAGTATAATCAGTGTTCTAAAAAGCCCCAAAAAGCGCTGCATAGGCGAGCCTAGGCGTCATGCGTGATCAATACGCCCTGCATATTCAACATGTGTGACCAAAGGCGCGCTTGGCCACAATATATAAAATTTCAACTATCATAGATAAAGTAAGATAAAATGTATAAGATATATATATATATATATATATATATATATATATATATATATATATATAGATACATAAGAACATAAGAAATATAAAAAAGACAATAGAGCATAAGAAAGATAAATATAAAAATAAAATAAGAACATACAAAAATAAAGAATATAAAAGATAAAGAAAAAAATAGAGATAAGAAAGAAAAGAGATCAATCGCACACGCGAATATGCCTATATGCGTTTTGTACTTTGCTCTCTCGAAAGCCATACTCTCATCCAGCCCATGAATAAGCATATCCATTTTTGATTCCTCTGATCCAAGTCTGTTTTGGTCTTCCTCTCCGCCTCTTCTCCCCACCTTTCAAGTCGTCTAACAGGTGATTCACTTGGTCTTCATGACGAAACCACTGCAATCGAGATTTTTGCATCTTATCTTCTATAGGTACTACTCCCACGCTTTGTGTGATTATCTCGTTCTGCAAGTAGTTTTTTCTAATATGTCCACACATCCAACGCAGCATATACATTTTTGTCGCACTTATGTTTTAAATGTTTGGAATAATTATTATGTCAGAATATCAATAATTATTGTCATGTTCAAAAAATATTTCCACTTATAGAGCCAATGTTAAAGATTGATAATATCAAAATATGACATCCAAGTTATAGAGATGAGAAATATAGTGCTCCTATATTAAAATTTCCAAATATATTACTCTGTATACAACAAAATCTTTAGTATAAACTACTCCGTTTAAAGTAGAAAAAGTGCCCGCCCATTCAAATTTGGGTATCCTGCAATGGCTGCAAACCCCAACAATTTTGAAATTGCATTGGATCAAATACTTGTCTATATAACAAAATAATGCCGGAGTACTACATAGATTTCCTCACTTTTTTTCAAACAAAAAACACCCTTTTATTTTCTACTCGTCTTTTTATCCGAATCTCATACTCTCTTTTTTAAAAAAAGAAACCATTAGCACATGATTGATTGTATGGGAAGCTTCTACTCCATCAACATTAAACATACAATAAATAAAACTTCAAGGGTGTATCAAGTTTACTCCAGTTCTATAAGATGATAGCATTGTAGCAAACAGCTCTGATTTTTGTGTATCGATCACACAGGAAAAGATGGAGCTTTTGGGTGAAAATTTTGAAGTAGTGGAGTGGAAATTGGAAGATGATGAGCTGAAGGGCGGGGAGAAGAGCAGCACTTCAAGTTCTACCCTTTTTGAGTCAGAAGCAACTGGAAATGATGAAGTACACAGTAGCTCTGAAGATTCATCGTCATTGCCCTCTTTTTATGATAGGAAGCTGGAAAAACAAGGGTCATTTTCACCTGGTAAGAAAATCACATCTCTTTCTGGTTTTTCATTCTATGCATGGATGTTGAACTTTGGTTTAAAATGCAGAGGTTGAGATGCTTAAGGAAACATTCTCCAAATTGATCCTCGGACAAGATATGTTAGGTGGTGGAGATGGCGTTTCTGCAGCATTGGCTGTTTCTAATGCCATCACTGATCTTTCTGGTATGCTGTAAAAAACAAAACAAAAAAAAAAAAAAACTGATTGAAGGGAATCACTCTCCTCAATCTTCTGCTTAATCTTTTATCCATAATCTTACAATATAGAATGCATCACTGATCTTCCACTTATCCCCTCCATCTGCTTCTTCTGTATGACAAATTTTTTTTCTCTCCTTGTCAGCAACAATTTTTGGGAAAATCTGTAGACTAGAGCCTTTGACCTCTAAGAAGAAGTTAACATGGAAGAGAAAAATGGAATGGCTTCTTAGCGTTAGCGATTACATTGTTGAATTCAGTCCATCCTTGCAAACATTCCCAGATGGATCCAAACGAGAGGTAACCCGACATGCGTTCTTCCGATATTAGTGTTACTTTCCAATCATTAGTATTAATAGTTTTCAATTAGTAATATTAATCCATTTTAGAAAAGTTATTTATATTAGAAACATAATGGTTGTACTTTAGGACTACATGGCCTATATGGCACTGTTGGGCCATTTAGCAATGAACTCTACTTTCTTGCTCACTAACCAAGCTGAATTACAATTACAAAAGTATATGATTCCAAGCTTACTTTCATTGACCATGAAAAAATCAAGTCTGTAGGGTTTGGGACGACGAGTTTGTCATATGTCAACCATGTCCATGACACTCTTCTGTGTGTATAGGTCATGACCTCTAGACCAAGGCAAGATCTTTACGTCAACCTCCCCGCGCTTCTCAAGCTTGACAATATGATCATTGTAAGATAAATGCCATTTTATCTTGTAGTATACTGTGTACCAATAATAACAATCATAGTTTCACATCCAGTGTTCTTTCTGCAGGATATCCTTGATAGCTTAGAACCAACAGAGTTCTGGTATGTTGATCAAGAAGGTATTGTAGCAGCCTCAGAGAGTCCACCAAAGGAGAAATGGTGGTTGCCCGTTCCTCGTGTCCCCACGTGTGGTCTTAGCGGGAATGCAAGAAAGCAGTTACAGCACATCAGGAATTGCATAAGTCAGATCCTGAATGCAGCAATGGCTATAAACTCTGGCACTCTAGCTGAAATGGAAGTGCCAGAGACATATTTTGAGGTTCTTACTAAGGTGGGGAAGTTTGTCCATGTATGGAATATGTCAACTCTATTAAGACTTGATATTTCATCCTCAAAATCCAAATACTTGTTATGCCCAAAATCTCGTTTAGACCGTACAATATTCTGTTTTGTATAAGGCGACACCTTCATGGTGTGCGGTCTTAACCGTGCAATTATTTTATAAAAGAGCATACCTTCACTGTCCAACACCTCATTTGGCTCGTGCATTTTTCATAGAAGGCCCACATCACGACCATATATTAGATTGACTTTGATATCATATTAAGATTTGGAGTTACATCCTATAATGTTATAAAAAAACTCAAGTCCATGAGTTAGTTTATTACTTTATTTAGTTAGCTTAACATATTCTTTTTGCAGAATGGCTATGCAAACTTAGATGAGCTTATCAATGGATGCAACTTCTCGGATCAATGGTCACCTGAGTCTTTTCTTGACTGCCTAAATTTGTCCTCCCAAAACCGGGCTCTCGAGATTGCAAACCAGTTGGAGGCGTCGATACACGTTTGGCGCCAAAAAACTAACTCAAAGAATATGAAGCTCTCGTGGGAAATGGTGAAGGAGTTGGTGGTTGATGCAAACAAGAGAGAGGTGTTTGCATATAGGGCTGAAAGTCTTCTCATCTGCTTGAAGAAACGGTTTCCAGGGCTTCCTCAGACAACACTAAACATGAGTAAAATCCAGCATAACAAGGTTCCATTTGCTCTCTTTTTAAGGGTCCCTTTGGAGCCCTAAACATACTAACAGAAGAAAGTATGATAAATAGTAGGGAAGATAATTGAGATTTGTTTGAGAGGAAATAAAATCTGGAGGAAAATGAATGAGATGCTCAAACTCAAACTAACAAAACACTATAATAATTAAGTACGTGTATTTATTCAGCTATATTAATTCTATTTCATTTTTCTATTAATTTATTCAGTATACTAGTATAGGGTGAAAACCCAAACTAACAAAACACTTTCCTTCTAATTTTTCTCCTCTCCAAAACATATTCTATGACCCAAACTACATACTCTAAAGGATTCATTCACTGCTTCAGTAAGAATTTTACACTGACTAAATTTTCCTCTTGCTCCCCACTCACCAGGATATTGGCAAATCTATACTAGAGAGCTATTCACGAGTTGTGCAAAGTTTGGCTTTTAATATCACAGTACGGATTGATGATCTTCTTCATGTGGATGACTTGACTAAGCATTCAGACCGATTCATGCCCGCATGCAACAAAAGCCCGAGGAAATCTTTGACTGATTATTTGACCATGGATTCCAAGGGAAATCAGATTAGTGGTGATCTGAGGAGCATTGAGACCCATTCATGCATTTATGAGGAAGTGATAGCAACTGAAGATGAACTCAATACTTTGTATTCTTGTATATAGTGACTTTCTTGTCACTCAAACAAGATTTATCATGACTAATGATAATATAGTTGAAGATAACAACATTTAAAGATCCAGCATGCGGTTAAAATTATCAAACTTTATTATCTGATAAAGTTGAGGTAAATTCATAGTCTTACTATATTACAAGGGGGTCAAAAGGTTTACAACCATAGGTTTCCAGCTAACTTAGAAATAACAGTCCATATATATTGCCTTCCCTAAAATTTTGAAATTTTGTGGACAATTAGCACATCTTCCGTCTATCAAGGGCATTATCCTGAATCAGGTTTACATCTCCCATAGCATCAGATTCAATTATTATATTGGTCAGCTTCTTCTCAATGCAAAACTCAAGACCAACATAGCAGTTTTACGGGGTAAATTAATCAAGAGTCTAATGAGAGATATGGCATTCAGACATTTAACCAAAGTGAACAACCTTCCTGGTAGACGACCCTTTAATGAGAGAGATATTATTCCAATTATTTCATGATTTCATCCCCACACGCATATAAATATGGCATAATATGGAGAAATTTAAAGTAGAGTAGTGGCCCTGTTATTTGATTTCATTGTGGAAGCTCAACGCATAAACATTTGATATTTATTAGTTCAAACTTCCAAAGCACACCACATCACCCTAGTATATACAATTAGAGCCTTTGAAATTAACAGTTTATATGTAAATTTTGAGGTCCGGTCACGGCGGTCAGGCGTTATGATCCTGAAAGATGAATAAGAATTATCATCAATTGCGATTGCAAGATAAAATCATTTACAGTAATAATAAATAAACGCATGAGCAAACAACAATGCTACAAAATGAACATCATCACATACCTATAACTTTTCTCCTCTCCCCTACATCCTCATTATTCCTGATGGCAATGGATGTATAGAGTGCAAATATAATGAGCATGTTAAGGATGCAAAATATAAAAGATAAAAAGCACGTAAGGCAGGTTAAAGTACCTGGAAAGTCAAATCTCCAGTACCATGTCCAATAGTAGAAAGTGTATGTTCCCCAACTTACAGGAACCGGTAGAGCCATGTAAGTGATGTAACTATACATTCACATTCATATGGATATAGAAAAATAAGACTTCCAAGAGAAGCACATTTACTGAAATCACAATCTAGTCTAGATGAACAATAGATGCAAATACGTAATAGAAGCTAATTTAAGGAACCTGTGAAGGCTGTGCATGTAAAACACAGAAACATAAGGTCCCGGGGAAATGCCAAAACCTCTCCTACCGGGAAGTCTATACATATAATAACTGCACAGACAACAAATAATGATAATGAAATCTTAAACTAAAATGTACATCACAATAAAGAGTAGATGATTTTCCCTCACTATCATAAGACAGATGTATGAATAGTGATCTGCAATTTAAGAAGGGAAAAGTTATGGAACCTGGGTAAAAGAAGTCTATAAGAAATGTACATTTCCCCAGTGGCAGGAAATGGAGGAGCCAAGTATCTGCATATTAATTTAGAGGATATGGAAGATCATGAACTTAATATCAGGCTATCAGCCTATACATTGAAAACTACAGTTACTGAAAGTCATAAAAAAGAACAATGGATATAAAATCAACGAACCTGGGAATGCGCTGATGAAAGATTTCAGTAGCATTGCGTGCGCGGAAAATGCCATGGCGGTTAGATGGAAATGCTAAATGCCTAAATAGTGAAAGAATGGTGGAAAAGCGACCAACCAAGAAGTACTTAGTTAATACTGTATATGATTATTTCTTTGCACCTAAGTAGAAGAAATGTCACGTCATGACTCTATATCGTTCCAACCTAAGAATAAAACCTAAAACTGCTGCAAAAATGGATTTGTGAGGAGTGCTTCTTGGGAGTCAACCAATTAACAAGGTATTGAAACACATGATATGCATAAATTTACAAAATGACTGAAGGTGTAATTTGAGATCGATTTCCCTTGAAGATGAACAGGGTATACGTGCTGAAACTCTATTAACTGGATGACTTCATGCAAACAATAAGCACTATCCCCAACTTCTTCTGAACTGTATACAAGTTAGACCAAAGTGGCATATTAACCGAGGGAACAAACCACCGTCTTCCCTAATTAAGATGGAAAAAAGTTACTTCACTGAACAATAAATGATAACTCTAAAGCTTGAAAGTTCAATAGCAGAAAGCCAGAAATATCTGAGATCATAAAATCTTCAGTTGTGGTTTCAAACATCAAGCACATATGTTGGTTTCAATACCTTGGGTTATGAGCCGATCTTGAATAATTATAGAATACATCATTCAAGAAACAACCTACAGGTAGCATCCTGAGTTATACACACAGACACACACATTTCATTCCTTTTCTTGTTTAATCACAATACATCGAATTTTGCTGTATTTAGTATACCAGCTTTGATCATATTTTAATTTTTCACTAATGTTTAACAAAAAAATCATATCATGTCAAATGTTTTTATATTCTCGGGATGTATATTTTATGATATCAACTTTTTAAAGAAAAAAGTTCCAAATGAGAAAGTCAAATGGCCGCAACAATAAAAGAAAGCAGGTTGGTATGTACTGTATGTTTTTAAAATGGATATTTTTACCTTGACTGATTAGTTGATAATGATAAGTCATGGTATCTCACCACCCCTTGTTCAATTAGCTGCACCAGCTCCACGAAATTCTTATACTTTGAGGGGTAATTGTTGTCTCCTTGCTGAACATAGGTATTAACACTGCACACAACCAAAACTTTCTGGCACTTGGAAATTGGCATACCTATGTATTACATAATACAGAATACAAGAAGAATGGTATATGGAATTTATGAAAACGACATTTTCCAAACAGGAAAGCAAGGCACTCACTTCAGTTCGAGTTCATAAAGTGTGCTGTCGCCATTCCTCATTGAAAAAACCAGCATCCTACGACCCCTTGCACCCCTTGCAAGACAAAGAGCTATCACTCTGTTTCGCCTTCCATCCGGATTTGAATTTGAATACACAAATGCATACTGGCGATCGTAGAAGTTCCAATTATCGATACCTACCTCATCTGAACAGAATACGAGGGGAAAAACATGCGGCAGTTTACTGTAAATTCATATGCAACATCACTGCGTTCATATAACTTGAGATTTCAAACAAGTAAAACAAAAACACAAACGCGGAACACTTCTAAGCAATAAATTGACACCAGAATCACCAGATACTGTATTCTACAAAGTGTTGTTAGGGTGTACAATTTCAATAAATTTGTTAAATCTATTTCTGAAAAACAAACTGCTAAAGACTAGGACATCGGCAATATAACAGCATCATAAACCCTAAACACTCGCAGATAACATCAGAGAGATCGTTCAACATTCATTAGTAGAAATGATTTGAGACAGAGTATTCGTGAAGCGGCCTCAATTTGCGAATTACATGTTCTAAGTATTTACCGGAGGTTGAGGGGGAGGAGAAGGTGTCCATGTCGAAAGCAGGGGGGCCGGTGGCGTTAAGATAGAAACCCGAAGCCATGAAAGTAGCGTGCACAGCGAAGGCAACCTTGTCTCTGTGACTGCGAAAATCTGGCCTCGCTGATCTTATCGCCATCATCACGATCTCTGGGTCTGCTACCACCATGCTTCTTCTTTTAGGAATTTCGGGAAATGGCTCTGGAGCTTACCCGAGCAACCAAAAGAAGAAGATGATAGAGCTTAACTTCCTTGCCGCAATCCCGCCTCAAGTGGTAGAAAGATTTTGAGAGAATTTTAATTCCGATACAATTACCAGAGTAATGTATACTCGCTCGTCCCACTATAATCCATAGCCGTAATATCTTAGTGCGTTCACAATTTCTGTTAGTTAGTTGAATGGGATTGGGCGCGAAAATAAGTTTGGGAAGATACTCCAAGTTTCCAACGACTCCAACGACTCCGGGGATGAGTAACGGTCCCCTGGACTAGGGCCGGTTCGGGCCCGGTTCGGGCCTGGGCCCGGCCGGGCCTCGGGCCAGAAAACTGGGGCCCGAGCCCGAACCGCCGGTGGCCGGTTCCGGTTCCAGGCCAAACCGGGCCGGGCCGGGCCAAACCGGGCCGGGCCGGGCCGGACCAAACCGGTCCATTTTTTTTGGTTCTCCTATTTAACCCCCTACCCCTCCCCCTCAACCCCAAACCACCCCAAACCACCTCAAATGGCCCAAAATACCTAATCCAACCCAAAACTTAAAAAAATTCAAAAAAAAAAAAAAATTAAAATCCGGCCCGGGTTGAGGGGGAACCGGCCAGGCCGGTTCGCCTAAAGCAGGGCCCGAGCCCGGACCGCCCATCACCCGGGCCGGGCCAAACCGAACCGCTGGACCCACCGGGCCCCGGGCCGGGCTGGGCGAAACAGTAACCGGGCCGGGCCGGTTCCGGGTCGGGCCGCCCGGCCCGAGTCCACCCCTACCTGTGAATATGGTATTAGGGTGGGCATATCATTTTCAGTTCGTTTTTTATCGGTTTGGGTTCGATTCGGTTTGGAACGGGTTAGGAGAATTATTACCAAACAAAATCATAATATTTTTCGGTTTGATTCAGTTTTGTTTAGTTCGGTTTGGTTTGGTTTGGTTTGTATTTGTTATTTTATAATAATATATGAAAGTTTTATTGAATTTCTTTAATTAGTTCAGTGTGATTTTGATCGGTTTTTATCGGTTTCAGTTCGATTCAATTTAATACGGTTTGAAAGACATTATATCAAAGTCAAACCAAATTGCATACGGTTTGATTTCGGTTCAGTTTATATCGGTTTGATACGATTCGATTGGGTTAAACCAAATCAATATACCATCCCTAATGGGTATTTAGCGTCTCTTCTATCTGGTCAAATGAAACTCGAGGGACGGGTGTTTTCCAACTCTCATACTCCGTATTTTTCATATAGTCCAGCAAAAAATCAGAAAAAAGAATCACGTGATCCTATAATTGATGATTTTAAACTTTCGTGCTCAATATTTTTGTGAAAGAGTGGAGAACGACTCAATTTATTTTACTATTCACTCATTTCATCCTTATATTTTCACTATTCATATTAATGACCCTATAAATAATAATCTACTTTAATTTTTTTGCCAAAGGGAGGAACATGACCATCACTTTGGGACAATCCAAATAAAAAATACAGGACCATCATTTTGAGACGGATGTAGCATTATTTAATACGGAGTACATCATACTCCATTTGTTCCTTAAAATTTTGTCATGTTTGACCGGCATGAGAACTACCAAAATAAAAATTGTGTGGTTGAGATTTGTGCAGAAGAGAAAAAAATTAACTGAGATCACAAATTATTTACTTAAAACGAAAGTGACAAAATTAATGAGACAAAAAAAGGAAAACTGATAAAGTTTTAATGGAAGAAGGAAGTATTATTTTTACTGCGCACAACCATGTCAAACATAGATTTCACTTTTTGAAGAAAACATGTAAAAGGGAGATAACGAACTCGGATTCTCGGAAGTTACTCACATCAGGAGAGATCGTCCATATGTACTCGGTAATACATATTCACTAGTCTAATGTCTCTTTGTCCTCTCTATGAGCATCCTATTTTGGATGCTTTTAGGGGACTTCGTATAAAAATGAAGATAACTTCAAGTATACGAAGCTCGATCGCAGATTATACCGTACAACCGGCTGTACGGTGAGCACCGTACAACCGGGTATTTTTGAAATTAAATTGAACTTGCAGGGTTATAGCTACGGTGCTCTGCTTTCTCCGATTCTTTCTCGGTCGTCGTCCCTGCTTTCTCTTACCGCAGTCCGCAGTCTCCGCACGTTCTTTGCTCTGCTTTTTTCAATTCGTCTTTTCTTTTGTTTTTTTAGTTCGTACGTTTATAGTCCGCAGTCCCTGCCTTTTACTTGTGATCCTTTTTGCTTTCAAGAGCCTTTACTTTTTAATCCAAGAGCCTTTTGCTTTAAATTTTATTCAATTATTATGAAACTTTACAATATAAAATATTAATAGTGTCCAGTTTTTTTTGCTCCTTTTTTCAATCATCTTCCTAATGTCATTTTTTTTAATTTGTCCATTTTAAAAATATTTTAGGTATAAATGTTTTATTTTTCTATTTTTACTTTTAAGATAAGTATTTATTAGTTATTAAATATTGTGTCTCAATTTCTAACATGAGTTTTGTGTTATATTAAAATGAGTATAGTGTAAACTAAATATGCACAAATAAATTTGAACACATTAGAGAATTGAAACGAGCTTTTAATTTTTTCGATGCTCATTTTGTAAGTTACATGTGTTCATCTCGTACTGGGTTATGCTCATTTCAAAACAATAACATTAAATTCGCATAAGGGTTAAATTATATACACGAGACCAAAGGTCATGATACTCAATTACATGTTTTTGATAATCAATTGATGAGATTTGATGTTCATTGAAAAATGTCTTGATGCTCAACTAACCAAGCTTATAACTTTGATATCGTATTGGTGTTATGCTCATTTTAAAATGTTATGTCAATGCATATCTCAAAAGCAATGTATTACATTACGTTTGCGTAGGAGTTGATTATAGATATGGGGCACAAACCATGATACTCAATTGCATTTTTCTAATACTCAATAGAGGGTGTTTGATACTCAATAAAATTGTCTTAATGCTCATCTAAAAAACTTATAACTTTCATAGTAATGCTCATTTTGTAAGTTACGTGTGCTCAATTGGTACTTCTATTATGCTCAGTTTTAAAATTTCATAACAATGCATATTCCAAAAGTATCATATTACATTAGATTCGCATATTGAAATTCATAGGAATTGCTTATAGATATAATTTAATGAGTTTCTATAAAAGAATAAATAAAAAAATGTGAATTACAATATATGAAGTTGATATGACAATACTCATTATTTGGCTCTTAATGCTCAGTAGAATACGTCTGATGCTCATTAAAAGTGTGTCAATGCTCATCTAACGAAAACCAAGATTTTCATTGAAATTACGAAAATGCCACCGTTTTTAGTTGTGATATCAACTTTTTTTGTAATAACACAGTGTTCATTATGAGACGCTTAACACTCATTAAAATTGGACTATTGTTCATTAACTTTTTTTTTTAAATGTCATATCAATACACAAATGAATATTGAGCACAATAGAAATGATTTTTATGTTAAATTCAAATGAGTATAACAATCCAACTAACAAAATCATTAGTGCTCATTTTGTTAGTTACGTATGTTCATCTGATACCGATCTTATGCTCATATATTTAACTCCTAATACTCAACGTAATAGACCAGATGCTCATTAAACGTTCATTAATGCTCATTCACAAGAAATTGTAGTTTTTATCTCAATAACGGGTGTTTGATGCTCAATTAAAATGTCGTGATGTTGAACTAATAAAACCTTATGATTTTCATATCAATGTACACTTTGTAGTTATGTATGCTCATTTGGTACTGATGTAATGTTCATTTTTACAATATCATATCAATGCATATTTCAAAAGTATCATATTATATTAGACTCGCATATTGAAATTAATAAGAGTAGATTATAGATATAATTTAATAAGTTTTAATACAAGAAATAATAAGAAAAAGAAAGAGAAATAGAATATATGAAGCAAAGATCGTGAAATTTATTGTTAGTCTCCTAATACTCAATGAAATAGGTCTGATGCTCACTAAAATTACATTATTGCTCATTTGATATTGATATTATGTTCATTTTAAAATGACACATCAACGCATATTTCAAAAGTACCATATCACGATGCTCATTGTTAGACTTCTAATACTCACCAAAATATGTGTAATGCTCACTAATATTAAGAATTTTATAAAAGAAAAAAATAAGAAAAAGAAAAGAAATTATAAGATATTGTGCTCAATATCACACTCTTAATACTCAACAAAATAGCAACAATGCTCAACAAAAGTATTGATGCTCAACCAACTTGAGCAAAAGGTCTACCTCATGTAACATTCGTTCCAAATTTCCAGTAGTTTACGGTTGTATTCCTTCATCCCAAATAAAGTCCAGTTTTAGTTCGACATGTTAAACGGCTCAAACTTATTGTGCTATGATATACTACGCGTATTACAGTAAGAAGTAATACACTTCCATGCAATTTGAAGGTGAGGAGCAAGAAAATGGAAAACTGAAGTCTGAAACCTCTGCCTGCGTCGCCAGAAGAGGAGGAAGACGAAGAAAGCTTCACCGGAGTGTTGCCAGACTGGAATTTTCACGCTGATCGTGGAGGAAGCGTGCCGCCATCTCTTCGCCGGAACACCCCTAAGCCACGGTGCTACTTGTCTCCAGAAAAGGGAGGCTGATAAGTTCGTATTTCAACACGCATTTGATGCGTGTTGGGGTCGGATTTTGATAATTTTCCTAACTTTTGGGTGTCGTAAGTCTCAATTTTAGCTCAAGTCATGTGTATCGGGCGTAGGGTATGAGTTTTGGTATTTTCAGAGTTGAAATCAAGTTTTGGGACCCGGCATCGGCATTTGAGAAAGAGATCGGGACGAGTTAAGAAGCATTCGAGAGTGAATTCGCAGTTTTGGAGGCCACCGGGAGATTCACGATGATGTTTTGATGAAGAAAGAGCTTTTGGATCGATCGAGTGGTCAAACGGAGGCTTAAAACGAAAGAAATCGAAGAAAATGAAGAAGAAAGGCCACGCACGGCCGTGCGTACAGGGACGCACGGCGTGCGTGCGTGGCAGTAGCGGCCAAGAAAAGTAATGACCAACGCACGGCCGTGCGTCCGGGTAC